CCGTCAGAGGACAAGCCAACAGCACCCGTGCGACGCAGGGATGGGGGGCCCGAGGGCAGGCCCGGGTCAGAGTCGGGTGGGTGACGGCGCCCCCCACTCTCCCAGCCGCGGCCACTCGCTCCACTGGCTCTTGGACCACCAGGTCGCAGTGACGGATGGCGAAAACCCACAAGAGAGCCAGCGCGGCCTTGAGAAGAAAAGCCAGCGAGGAAAGGGTTTCCGCTGCTGTGCAGAAACCTCATAGTTTGTCGGCTCACCAAAGCTTCCGAGGGAAAGGTAAAAAATTACTGGCAAAACAAAAATAGCGGGGCTGCTGTGTGACTACTGGTGATCTCGAGGTTACAAACACCTGACCTGTAGACACATCGTGCCTCCAAACCAGCAGCGGCCTGTCACTTCCGCTCTGCCACCATTTCTCCTGACAACAGGCCACAGGAAACTATGGGGGCTGAAATCACTCTTCTCGGCCTTGTCCTCTGGGAGGCAGATTTCATGCCGCTCCCGTCTCGGATCCCGCACCTACTTGTTCAAATCCCTTCATGGTTCGTGTTCTTCTGCGTGTTCCCAGGATGCTCACAAAAATGTCCTTCCCGCCACCACTAAGTGATGTTTGTCAGGTCAATGCCACCAAATCTCACCCTACAGGGCAGACTTTGGTCAAGGAACAGGAGAAGACCCTTACATATTTTGAAATGAATTTAGATAAGATATAATAAGTATCGTGTCACCCATTCTCAGTTCTTTTGAGGAAAGTGACATCTTGGTGGATACAGGACAGAGTTTGGTGATCGTTGCCTCCATTTAAAATGAATGTACACTTTGGGGCGCGTGGGTGGCTCGGTCAGTTAAGCATCCGACTCTTGATTTCGGCTCAGGTCATGATCTTGTGGTTTGCAAGTTTGAGCCCTGAGTTGGGCTCTGTGCTGATGGTACAGAGCCTGCTTGGGATTCTCCCTCTCTGTCTGCCCCTCCTGCACACGCTCTCTCTCTCAAAATAAATAAATACACTTAAAAAATTAAATGGATGTACATTTTGATGCAGCAAGCTAGCATTTAGGAATTTACCACATGGATTTATCCTATATACCTTTATACAAAGATACAAGGACATGTACCTTAATGGCAGCATTTTTGATACAGTAAACATAAATGGAAACAATAGGCACAAGTCTACAAATTATGGTCCATTCATGAGATGACCTTCTATACATCTGTTAAAAAGAATGAGGTAGATTTTCAGGAGCTGATCTGCATTGATGTCCGTATTTAGTAGTAAAGTGAAAATAACCAGGAGTAAAACGTGGGATTTTCTTCTCTCTGCCCACTAAGGAGACTGCTTCGCTCCTCCCTCCCTTCACTCACTCACCCTCCTCCACCCCCCACCACCTTCTGGGTGCATGTAGCAGATCAAGACTGAGGCTGAGTCCTTCCACAAGAAAGACCAGAAGAGGCGAGACAGAAAGAAAGGAGGGGAAGGAAAAGCGCAAGGGCCCGAGGGAGCGGTTTGGAGGGGTGAGGGGGAACGAGAGTCTCTGAGGGTGTGAGAATCGCTGGGAAAAGAGAGAAAGAACAGAAGAAGGGTACTGTGAATGCAGGTTCATGTACATACTCTGAACATTTCAGGAAAGAAAGTCACCCTGCTTATCTCTCTAGGGAGTGAGGCTGGACTTCGAAAGATGAGGGTGATCTTTGCCTTGTGTTCTTTCGAAAGTATCCTCTCCTGAAAGTGCTGCTATTCTCACAACAAAGTTATCTTACCAGAACACGTGTGAGTATACCGGAAGTCCCTCTCAAAGCCTTAACAAGCCTCTGCCTCTCTAGATCTTTCTCCGGGTCCTAAAGAAAGTCAAGTCTAACTGATAGTCAGCATGATTTAAACCCTAAGACTGTGCTCAGTTTTGGTTTTTTTTTTAATTACTTTCTCCTTTTTGATCTTTTTAAAATGTATGGCAAACGCTTGTGAGATCAGGGGCTGAACAGACTTTCCGGGGCTGGTCTGGTGATAGCACCACGATCCTTAACACCTTCTTCAGGAGGAAAATGTTTCCCAAGCCCTGAACTACCACTGGCAAACTGGCTTCTGGAACCCAATTCATCTTATGGTTAAAATTTTAATTATTTTTTTTAAATTAAACCTCATGAAATACCTTTAAATTGCTTTCACTCTGCCTAACGTTTATAATGCTACAGATGACCATGATCACAGAACCTCTCAGAAGAAACAGTATGAGCTAAAGACGCTAAATTCTGTTGGATGTGAATTAATGCCAACCCACTTCATGAGGCCTAAAGATCTTCACGCTGCACTGCATCATAAAGAGAACTTACTTTTATCGAGTCAAAATAGATGACAGAGTGTGGCAAGAAGGGAGCTGAGGGCAACGCGGTGATTTGGATAAAAAGCGAATGTGAACACCTTCTCTTCCGAGGTCAGTGGTGGTTAAAGTTTAGCCAAGGTCAGGAGGGAGAAAAATCATTCGTCAGGTCCTGCCCTCAATCTCGCTGTTGCAAACAGTATATTAACGTTGTAAACCTGTTAGCGTGGGTGGCAACCTGGTCACCTCTCAGTGACTCATGCCGAGCTAACCGCCCACGTCCTTGGCCAAAGGTGAACCCAAAGTCCACCGAGAGCAGCTGTGGGGAGACCCTGTGGGCACTTGGTGGCCCAGAGTGTAAACTCCCTCACACACATGTAGGCAGCAAAAAGCGCCACCGACTTCCAGATGCTGACCTCGCGGTTAAGCCTGTTAAAGGGCTGGCAGAGCCTCTGACCGTGAGTCCCTTATCTTCATATCTGCAGGGCTAAAGGGAAGAAAGGCAAAGTCCGACAGCATCCACCCTGCCTTCTCTTCCTTGGTTCTTGGGTTCTCATAGCCCTTCCTCTGCGACACCACTGCAAGCAAACTGTTCAGAGTCCACTCGTTAGAAGCAGATCAATGCAGACTGGATTTCTGGAAATACAGAATACTGCAGGGCAACTTCCTAACAAGCTCCAGGGGAGAGAAACTGAGGGAGCCTTTAGAAATCTGTCACCCAGCACGAGAACAGAGTGTACACTTACGGAGGAACTGTGACCGGCCAAGGCCCAGGAAAATAGAACCAAATGTATTCCAAACAATACGGAGTCCATTCTGGTGGACTTGGCCTCACTTATGAGAAAGGCTTCTTTGTTTAACTCAAGTCAGTAAAACTGCCAGTTAATTAAGGGGTAGGCAGTCCTTCAGAGAAGCCTGGAAGGTAGGGAAAGAAGATTCGAAAACAAGTGCAGGACTACCCTTGGTGTGGGGACCAGAGGCAAATGTCTGTGCAGAGGGGCCCGCGGGGCCGCCTGGGCGTGCAGGGTGGGGGTGGGGTGGGAGGAGGGGAAGCATGTCCAGCCTCGGCTGCAGTGGGGGGAAGGGGAAGCACAGGGGCCGCAGGAAGGACTGTCCCGCCCAGCGTTTCCTGGCTGCAGTCTACCCGCATGGCCTGTGGTCTGGCTTCCCGAGACCCAGCCCCGGAGTTCAGAGCGAGGTGACATTGACCGTCAGGGACCCGCCCCTGGTTGCAACACTGTGGATCGGAGAATGAAGCCTTATCTGTTTGTGCTCGGTCCATGTGCTCTGAAAACCCACAAGATTCATCACACCAGACATTGCATGCTCATGGGAGAGTCTGCAGTCTCGGCCCTCTAGGCAATCTCTCTTACATTTGATTAGCGCTGACTCACAGTCTGGATTCCAGAGCTGCTCCACCACAAGCAGGGGAAGACGCCATCTACGGCAGCTCTGCAAACACCCCTGGGCCCTCCAGGTGCGGTGGCCGGCCTGTGCACCCCTGCCGCCGGCTGGCTGGCGGGGTCTTCAGGCTCCTCTCTGCCTGCACCGCACTCCAGACCGCGCTTCCTGACCACGTGTCTCACTTCCAGCTCCCCTCCCGCACCTGAACTTGCAAGACCCTGGACTTGCTTCCGTTCTCACGTGGATCCTGGTAACTTCCCCTCTCAGTTCCCTCCAGAGGCTTGTCCTCAAGGTGGGGAGAGGCAGCCCCTGGGACTCTAACCCCTCTTCACTTGGAGCCCCTCCCCTGCCTGTGGACCCACGTGGGGTAAGTGGAGAGCTGGGTTCTCCCTCTGCTTAGCCCCTGGGGGCTGACACTGTGTTCGCATGGTCTTCAGAGCTACGCAGAAAGGGAGCCTCCGCCCTCCAGGGACCTCCCACCCTCCCCCATGCTCCCCGGGCTTCAGGGCACCTTCCCAGTAGTGGGCGACCCTGTTCTGTGCTGGAGATGATCCAACCTCAGATGACGGCACGAATGACTGCGCCCTCTCCCTTGGGCGGATCTACCTCAACTTCCACACTTAGGTTCTCAGCCTGCTGCAGACCCGGGTCCCATGCACTAGATTTCAATTCTGCCAAAGATCCTCTGAGTTACAGGAACATCCAGGGACAGAACACCCACTGGTCTGAAGGAGCTGAGGTGAGTCAAGGCACGATTAACTAGCAATAGCGCCTTCATCAAAGACACGCGTGAGCCTGGCTCATAAGGTTTTATGGGGCCAAATGATTCGACCCAAGGCACCCTGGGAACCATCAAGATGGAAGAGACCATCGCTAGTCAGCCAGACGGAGGGCCCCTGCCTGGGCCGTCCTCACCTGGGTGACACAGCCTTCCTGAGCTGGGTTCGGGCCGTGTTTCCCTGCGGCCGCCCCCAGCCCGCTGCCTCCCCCCATCACTGCAAGCAGAACCCTGCAGCGTAACCCTCGGCTCCGCACAGACAGCGACTTCCTAGTCTCCGCACCCACAGCACCTGACACGCGGCAGGAGCCTCACAAATGATGAGTGTCTGCACAGGCGAGTGAACAAAAAAAGGTCCGGTTTTCTACGCTGCCGGGGAAGCAGCTGGGAACAGATGGGGACACCCGGGAAGGCAGAGCAGTTGGGGTGGCTTCAGGACGTCAATCCCTTGCCAACGCGGGACAGTGCGGCCTTTCCTCTCCAGCCCTCTGCCTGGCACTCACCTATATGGCTCCATGGTCCGAACCCCATAGAACAAGGCCTCCTCCAGCAGGCCAAGGTTGATGCAGGCGTCCATGGCGCAGTCCAGCACCTTCAGCTGGTAGATGTTGATGTCAGGAAGCCGCTCTGAGTTGCTGCTGATGATCGTCTGGCACATGGCCAGTACCTGCTCCCACTCTGTTATTAACCTTGGTTAAGGATTCATTGTCTTCAGCAAGAAAACAAGTAAAATGAGATTCTCTAACAGGCTGAAGAGCTCCCAGGCACAGGAGGGAAGGAAGAGCCCATTATTTTGCACAGATGAGCTGCCTGCAAACACACTCGAGAAACAAAAACATGTAAGTGGCATCTCAGGCAAGTAAATTCTGTTTACATCAACAAGCCATCTTCCACGCAAGCCTGCACTTTGGGGGATTAAGATTCCCAAAGAACCGTTCTTTCTTCCTACTCCTGTATGTGTTCTCTTTAAATCCAGGCACGGAGTGAATACAGCTGTTTATTAAATGGGACTACCAGTTAAGTCCAGCTGAAATTATGTACTCTGTCAGCTTCTGTTACAAAACTGGTCTGAGGTTGAAGAAGCTTCAGGCGGATACGACTTCTAAAAGGAGGAGCTCATTTTGGCTTCTGTGTCATTAGAACCTTGGGCATACGTGACACCAAGCCCCCAGCCCACTGGCCCGCAGCAGGGGAAGCAGGTTGGAGAAGTACATCCCCCCCCCCCGCCCCCCAGCTCTCACACTGAAGCTTCTTGATTATAAAGCAAAAGTGACCCAAGCCTATACTTAACCACAAAAACAAAAACAAGTATTCTTAGTTTGAGCCCCCAGAGTCCAAGATAGTATTAAGAACATGGCTCATGCATGTAAACCATGGGCGGGGCGACTGCTACTTTAAAAGGGGCAGGGAGCTGACCCAGGACCCACATGTGAGCAGCTCTGACTTTCGCATTCGCCGTGAGCCCATAACTCACTCCCGTGGTGCTTTGGTGTGATCGCACTTTTTAAAACGGCTCTTACTCCCTGCGCTGTCGCAGAGGGAGTCGGAGGACTGAGCACGTGGGGCCCTCCCTGAGTCCCTCCCGGGCGGATCACCCCGGGAGCACGGGGGAAGACAGCTCCCTCCCTGCACCGCCGCCGTCGCTCATGTCAGGTGAGGTGCAGGCCATGAGGACGCCGGCCTGGCCCCCTCGGCCCCGTCAACCTATGGGGCTCCAATCCATCTGCTTCTGTGTGCGGAACTCCACTGGAGTGAAAAGGTTGGTAGATTTCAGATGCGGCGGAAATGGCCTAGCCTTTGACTACACATACAGCGGGTTTCAGTGTGCACTACTTCTGTCACTTGTCAGATCTGAGGCTCTGAGGATGTCACCTAAAACACCTACGTGACGTGACCCCTGATCGTGACCAGGCTTAACCCCCTTCTACCCATGCCCCTGGCCTCCACCACACAACCCAGTCTCTTCACGATCAGTGCCCCCCGATCAACACCCCCTCTTTCGTCCATCGGGCTCCCACAGCACACCTGGCCTGAACCATGCGCTCTAGCGCCCCTCTATCCCGCCCTCCAGCAACATCTACCGCTCCTACCATCCACACGGGCCTGGCGGAGGTGCGGCCTTCCAGAACGTCAGCAAACACTTGTAACAAACCAATCAAGCCGCCTGTGTGAGTAGGAACTAATGTCTTCATTACAGGAAATACGCTTTTCTTCGCCCAGAGGCAGAATACCTTACCCCAAAGGCGCAGCTTCCTTACTTAGAATCGCAAGCGCCACAATGCACGGCTGAGGGCCTTTATTTCAGACTCCTGGCACACCACGCTCTGTAATTTCAGCATCAGTCCTGCCTCTCAGGAGTTGACTCTGCTCTCCGAAGAGGGTACATTCATTGAAGAAAAGTGAGTTGGTGACTTTCTTTAGTATTCCTGTGACATGCATGTTTAAAGTGTGCCGGGTGTATCCTCAGAGGTTGGGGGGTAGCGGTATCTAAGGCATTGCACTGATTTGGTAACAGATTGCCGGGCTAACCTCTGTGGCTTTTCATTCCAGGACGAGATATGTGACGAACTGTCAGGAGGAATGGCTTTCTCTTACACAACGCTAGACGTTTCTGTGGCGAGACTTTGTACCTTCTCTTAACACTGTGTTGTTTGACCTCCATTACTATTTGCCTATTCACTTATATATTCTCTGACTCATTTTAAGGAGGTTTGAGGTGACAAGCCTTAGAAATAAAAACCAGCTGTGACATTCTGCAGCCGCTGATAGGAATACATCCACTTTATCCCCCAGCAGGCTGGAAGGGAACGTGGGCCAATTTCCCTTCGTAACATTGGCAACGGTCTCCTGGCAAACAGGCGCACTTTTCCTGTAAAACACCCCAGTGAGCAAAAAAATGGAATAATTTTAACTAAGAGGCTTTTCCCCCAAGCTAATGCTGACATTGTATTTGCTCAAAAATGTAGTCACTGGCATTTGCCTGGTGTCGCGTACAAGCCATTCTGCTCCAGTGAGGGGCTGAGCTCTAGACCGAAGCAGGGTGGGGAGCCTGCCCGAGGTGGACAGAACGGCCCCTCGGATCCCCTTTTTCCCTCGAACACTTTTCAATGACGGTATGAGGATTAGAGGGGGCAGAAAAAGGGGACTAAAGAGGAATTAATCCTTGGGACCACAGGGCTTTTTGTCACTGAGTATCATACTGTTCTGCTTAAGTCCTCCACGGGCCCCTCTCGCCAGGAAAGCGTCCTCTCCTGAGCACGGGCTGTAAGGCCTTGCCAGGTCGCCCCCCAGACTGAACAACTGCGATCTTGTGACAGCACGTTATTTCACATTCTGCCCGTATGCACACGCTCCCCTTCCGGCGGGTGCCCTTCTTCACAGCGGTGGCCTGGAGAGCTCCTGCTGTATACCTCCCACACACAACTCAGAGGTTGCCTCCTTTCTGGAACCTTCTTTAACCTCCCAGAGCGGTCTATTGTACCTTTGGTGCCCCTCAAATATATATTCACCACAACAGGTATTCATTTATGTGCAGCAGTTGTGAGTGCAGGGTTGTGTCCTCTTAACGGATACTCCGATCTATCCCAGGGTCAAGGGTGGTCCCCAGGTGGGCTGTGACTGGCAAGATAGCAGGCACAGAGTCAGTTTGCAGTGAAGCCTTGTCCTGCCAAGACCCGACTGTAGCAGGGTCACCCAGGGCCCTAATTCCACCGCGTGGGACAACAGACAACGAGCCTACTTCTCTGAGCCCAAGGAGGACCCCCTCTGACTCCCAGATCTGACTGTTTTCCCAATAGTGCTAATCCTTCCTACAGACAGGGTTTCAAATTCCACTGGGATCCTGGCTCCATTCCTTAAAATTTATTCCAGTTTCTCTAGATCTTTCTTAACATGTCCTACCCTAAAGTGAATAGAAAACTACAGATATGATCAGACTAGGAGCATCCCTTTTCTTATTTTCTGTTCTCTATTAATACCGTCCAGATCACAGTAGTTTTAGAGGGGTTATATCATCCTTGTAAACTGTATTAAACTTTGCTGATTACTAAAACCCTAACATTGTTGCACATGCTTTGCTGTTGCTAAGCTTTCTGTACATTTACACACTTAAGCTTTCTGACCCAAATAGAAGATTTTATACAGATTCTTGTTGCATTTCAGTTTTTTGGATTCAGACATCATTCAAATCTTCAGGGATCTTGAGCTCTTGATTCTATCAGCCCACCTCTGCCGTCCTCCCCGCCTATAGCCTTTGGGAATATGATGACCCAGTGCTCTGTATCTTCATTCAAGGTACAGAGTCACAGGTGGACTGGAAGGGGGGACAGAGAATTCCAGAGTGACAGTGACCTGAGTGGCAGCATTTTCTTGTATGGCTGTTCAACCATTTAGGAAGACGTCCGGCCATACTAGCATCTAGCATCAATTTCTTGGCTACAACTAATTGAATCTCCTCCTGGAATCTATGTACAAATGTTACCAAAGAAAGCTGGGACTCCTTTGTTCTTGGTAAACCCAAGCAGCCTCGGGCCCATCACAGCTTCCTTTTTCCTTCCTTTAGTAACCAATTACAATTCCCTTACCAAACCTGCAACAAACAAACAAACGAACAGAAAACCACCCACTGGGTACAGATTTCAGAAATTACTTATTTCACCTTTAAAGATAGGAACATCTGTCTATCCACCCCTCCTGTTCTTTATAGAGCTTTCAAGAACGCTGTAGCTTAGGAACCTTGTCTGAAGATTTTCTTGCTGACTGAGGTAGAATTTCCCCGCGGTATCTGCATGATCTTTCGCGATCTTTCTCATCCAGGTCTGTTTCTTCTTACCGCGTGGTTTCCCTTTGTCACGGTTTTGCTCAGGCGGCCACCCTCTACTGGAAGTGACCTCCCTTTCAGCCTCTGCCCATCCAAACCCTGTCCCTGACTCGGGACACCTTTCACACATCAGCAGAGCCTCCCCAGATGACCTCCAGCATAGGCGCTCTCTCCTACTCTCTGAACTTTGACCCACTCATGGTCCTTACTGTTTATGCCAAGAAAATTTATTGTGTGGCGACTCCCACTGCCATGGTAGTCACGGCTGATTTAATATGAAGCTTCTAGATCTGAGGGCCAATGACATTAAATTATAAGAATTCTGAGTTATTCTTTTCTAGAGATGTTGGTTATGGGTAGAAAGGAACTCAGAAATTTGTTGCCTTATCCATAGAGAGACTACTATTTACTGTCTCTTCCTGGCCATGACTTTTGCTCACTATCGAATGGTGGTAAGGTACTCATGCTGATCTGGCCACGATCTTCCCTAGTCATTACCCAAACTATTGGCAGGGACTGGAATGCAGCCTGTGACCATGAAACAGAATGAAGCTCACTGGTTCACACCAAGGTCAAGCCATGGACTTGGCTCCATTAACACCAAGCTCCAACCAATAAAGAAGCAATCCCAACGGTACAGCTCAGTCCACAGGTAAAAGGATACTCCAATGTGCCTTCAGCTCCTCAATTTTTTTCAGGGATTCTTGAACCTCCTTCCATACTTGTTCATCACCAGTCAGCATATCAGCATCCTGCTCGGGCCAAATCAAGAGAAGAGAAAGAAAGACAAATTATTTAATTAAAAAACGGGCAGAGGAAAAAAAAAAAGGACAAAGGACATGAACAGATTTTTCCAAAGAAGATAAACAAATGGCCAATAAGCACATGGAAAGATACTCAACATCGTTAGCCATCAGGGAAATATACATCAAAACCACAGTGAGATATCACTTTACACCCCTCAGGTTGGCCATAAGGATGTCAAAAAGAAAGGTAATACCAACTGTTGGTGAGGATGTAGAGAAACTGAAATTCTCATATGTTATTGGAAGCAATGTGAAACGATGCAGGCACTTTGGAAAATAGTCTGGCAGTTTCTCAAAGAGCTCCCATACCATTTAACAGTTCTACCCCTTAGATACCCCAGAGAAAGGGGAACCTATGTTCACACACAGAGTTGTGCGTCATTACTCACAGCAGCATAATTCTAGCGAATAAGGTGGAAGTGACCCAAATGTCCATCAGCCAACGAACGTGGCATATGCATATAATGGAATATTACTGGTAGTAAAAAGAAGTGGATTACTATAACACAGATGAACCCTAAGAACACCACGCTAAGTGAAAGAAGCCAGTCACAAAGGACCAAGTATTGTATGATTCTGCTGACATGAAATGTTCAGAACAGGCAAACCCACAGAGACGGAAAGTCAATTACTAACTGGCTGGGGATGGGGAGGGACTTGGGGAGATGGACATGTGGTAAAATCCACTGTGTTAACGGTTCCACAACTCTGTGAAGATACTGAGAGCCACTGAATTGTATGCTTTACCTGACTGAATTGGATCATATGTGAATTATATCTCAATAAAGCTGATATATGTCAGGAAGGGGAAGAGGGGCAAGAGAAAGAATTACTTGTTTGGAGACCCACTGATACTTTAATCAAAAATGTAGTTATCAACCAAAATGGGTCTAGGAAAGAGCAAGATGAATACAAGTACACACATGTGAATGAATTATGACTTCTGCAAAAACGAAAAGAAAGGGAAAAAAGATAACCAGCATTTTAAAAAGTAATTCAAAACAAAATAAAAGTGTGGGTTACCACTTATTAAATGTTTGTCCTCTGGGTTAGTAAGCAAGTCCTTTACTTTTCCTGTATGTCCACATTTTCAGAGCTCAGTAGCCACATGTGGCTGTGGCCACCATACTGGCAGCACAGATACAGAAAAGTTCCATCATCACAGAAAGTTCTGTTGGACAGAGTGGCTCTAAAGAGGCTCATCAAAGCGTAAGAAACTCATCAGACACCATTCAAAACCAGGTGTTCAACAGTCATTAAACTCTCAGTGGGTGTCAGGGAGAAGACCCATTTTAGGAAGTTATACCAAATCATGGCCAAATCACGCAAAAGTGAGGGAGGGCAGACTTTTTCAAACAATGGAGATCTCCCTGGAAACTTTTGCATGCCTCCTAGAGGAGGTTTATACAATGACCCTTGTGAGATCCACTACCAGGTTACTGGCAGGAAGCTACACATCACACAGGTGTGCCAGGGCAGAGAACAACTGAGGGCCACGGGGGGCCACAGAAAAGACAGCCCACCAACAGGGCGAGGCAGCAGGTGCATGGGTGAGGAAACGTGAGCCTTGTGTCTGTCGGAGGGGTTCCTGGGTCTCTGTGCACACATATCGTGCACATGAATAATAATACTGGGTGGTTTTCAAAAGGGCTCCAGTGCTGTCTTTGGCAGCACATATACTAAAATTGGAACAAGACAGAGAAAATTCACATGGCCCCTGGGCACGGATGTCATGCAAATTTGTGAAGTGTTCTGTATTTTTTTTATTTAGACTCAGGTCATGATCTCCTGGTTCATGGGTTCAAGCCCCGCATCAGGCTCCGTGCTGGCAGCATGGACCCTGCTTGGGATTCTTTCTTTCTGCCCCTCCCCACACTTCTCTCTCTCTCTCTCTCTCTCTCAAAATAAATAAACTTAAAAAAAAGAAAATCATAAGCGGACGCTACTTTCTTGGGCAATTCTCTTTTTTACATTTTTTAGAAGTTTTTAACATTTATTTATTTTTGAGAGACAGAGAGACAGAGTGTGAGTGGGAGAGGGGCAGAGAGAGAGGGAGACACAGAATCTGAAGCAGGCTCCAGGCTCTGAGCTGTCAGCACAGAGCCTGATGCGGGGCTCGAACTCACGAACTGAGATCATGACCTGAGTCGAAGTCAGATGCTTAACCCAGACACCCCGTATCTTTCCCATTTTAGAGTTAAATATAGATCTTCTTTGATGCCACCTCTCCCAAATACCTAGCACAGAGCATGGTATGTAACAAATGCCCAGTCAAATGTCTGTATGTAGGACGATCTGGAAGAAGAAGTCACATTTTTTTGGTAATGACCTGGATGTCTCTCGTATGTATTTCAATCACTCCTCACAACATCCTCGTGGGGCATCAACACCGATAATCTCCAAATGAGGCGCAAGATAGCCCTAATGCTTAATTAACTGCTACAAATGTCCTTCTGTCCCTAAGTGCCAGAGGTGAGATTCAAATCCATCTCTATCTGGCTTCAGAGCGCAAGCTCTCTGCATTACCTTTATGTTTCATTTGAATTTGTTCTTCTCCAAGGCTCACATAAAAGATGAAACAGGTCTGTGCAGTGGCCAACTTCAAAATTATCTGCAACCCACGGTGCCTGTGATCTTCCTAATAGCAACACTTGGAAAAGGGCAATAAATCCACCAACTTGGATCTCAGTGGATCTTGTACTCTTCCACCAAACAGGGTAGGACCATGGCCCTCATGACCTCAGGGTAAGACAGAGTAATCTCAGATGGGAATTGTACTCACAACTAACCCCCCTCGATAATCTGACTAGCTGTTCTTTGGGGAGAGCCTAAGACTTCATTGCCTACCAGAGAGGAGAAGGCAAGCTTTGAATTTGCTTCCAAACATTCAGAAATCACTCCTGAGAGCACTCCACATTGGAGTGAGACAAACTACATTCACTAATAGCTAGCCATCAGCTCCCTGGAATGTTCCACCATGATGAGAGTGTGTACTCACTACACGCTCAGGTTCCCGACTCCCCTGGCTCCCACTCACCTTCTCGTTCTGTTCTGTGACTTCTCCTGTGACTGTCCCCACAATGGGGTCTGTCTCCCCTCTCCCCACGCCAAGGAGGGGCACATTTAATAACGTGTGTATGTATGCATGTACATACATATTCATATATAAAGAGGAAATATATGTACATAGAAACTACTTAGGGAAGCATAATTTACATCTTTTTTTCCAGTTTGCAAATATAAGAGTAAATAAGCATGTTCTTTTCCATAGCCCCTGAGGTATCAAACCAGTAAATTTATATCCTTATTTCACTATTTCTTATGCGAACACATCAAAGATACTTGCTATCATTCAAGATAGAATTATTTAGGGGAAAAAATCCTTTTTGAATTTCAGCTTTACTATGTAAACAGGGCTTGAATGGGTGAGTCCTGAAATATGTTTCTAGTAGGTGGAAACATTCATTTTATGCATATATATATATATGATTTTTTTCTTCTTTTAAATCAAATGTGCCATTGTTGAGTTTCCTACAAATGATAAGAATAATTCAGACTACAGGCAGAAGGACTTCTGAGCAAGTTCACTCTGCTGGGAGATGATGAAGATAATTTAGGACACGTCGGTTCCAGAACCAGTAATAGCACCTCTGTCCTGACTGGCTGGACATCCCTAGGCAAGCCTTCTTTCCTGGCCCTCAGCTCCCTCACCCGGAAAACAGGAAGGTGGCCTGGGCGCCCATCACCATTCCTTCCACCTGACTGCTCTAGAGTCTGAAGTAACACAGAGCCCAGTCAGCTCTACCTCTGGACTGCTCTCTTGCACAGTTCCAGAAAAGTCCTTAAAGTGTTTGGCTTTACTTGAACCAGTAAAAACATGGTGACAGTTCCTTCCAGGCAGAACGAGGGCGGCTGCTCCCAGGATGTGGTAAGAATGAGTCTCCTGAGTCTCTCCCTTCTTTGACCTCTCAAGCTACTCTACTCATCACCCCCATTTCCCCGCCAGGGGCCAGGTGCAAACTACTCCCCACAATTCAAGAGTCCGTTCTTCTTGATTCTTGGTTCCTTCTTACTCACCCCTATTCCTTCCTCTCACAGCCCCACCCCCAATCTGACACGCCCCGGGCTCTATCTTCGGGCTCTATCTTCCTGCTCGATCAACTGCAATCCTTCCCTCTGGACTCTGGCAGGACCTAGACTGAAGTTCCTGCTCTGCCCCCTGGGTCACCACTTCCATTCACTTCTTTGGTTTTCTTCCCATTTGTACCTTTAGAACCGGCCCCCAATGTCCTCCATCAGGAAATCTTGTCTACTTCTGCCCTCTGGACTAGCCCAGCCCCCCAGAGCCCCTACAGCTACACAGTCACACTGCGCACCTCTCTCAGCGCCAAGCTGTCATACATGCTCGGCCCTAATGCGCCCCCGACAAGCCTCAGAATCGCATCCCAGCTATCTGGGGGCGGGCTGTGCTGATTACTGGCTTCTACCTCGAACATCATTCTGAGCCTCCTGATGCTCACTTGGCCCAGAGGCCCCTGCCTCCGCCTGACCCCAAATGGATCAGTGAGGCCATTTCAGTTCCCCCAGACACAGCTGCTCAATCAATACCCAAGCGTCATTCCCTTCGCCGTGGAAAAAAATAGGTGCCAGATGAGATGAGATCATCTTACCACTACATTAAAGGGGGCAACTCAACCCAATTACATTCAATCGGCCAAGTGCTTCCTTTGGGTTTCAGAGTAGAAAGCATACCTGCTAGGCACCAATGGGGGATTAGAAATTCGAGTTTCTTCAACAGGATAAGGTTGGAACCCAGCAAGGCTGTCTGTCCTGAGGACAGACCATGGGCTCTATCAGGCTCAACCATCAGATGCAGCCATGCAGATCTACTCTGTGTCTGAAACACTTAAACAGATGTGTTCGCTCGGCTCATGAGCGATGGATGATGGAACTCTTGCACGGGGCTCATTTCAGATGGTTCCCATTAAAAGGAAAAGGAGAGAGGCAATCTGCTTTCCAGTACTTCCTGTTATCCAATCCTCCTGCAAAGCCTAATTAGATTGGATCGAAGGAAGAGGAGTATAGGATGGGAAATAAAATTACTGAATACTTACAAACTTTTCCAGTAATTCAATAATTATAGCGCCTCAAAAGAAGGAGAGTTTTTTTGTGTGTGTGTGCTTTGTTATTAAAGCAAAAGGAGGTTCAAATATAGGGTCTGCACTTAGGGGAGAGATGAAAATGTCTTGAAATTCAAAGTCACGAAGGGAACAAAGTTCAGTCTCAAGAGCCTTGACTGAGGCCCCCTGGTTCGTGGATAATGTACTGGGACTAATAGATTAATATACAGCATCATTCAAAACCTTTATGATTCACAGGAAACATCTCTGCTGGAACCAATTTCTACCTCCTTTGGCAAAAACAACTGAAAGCAATTCAGATTTAACTTGAGAGGGGAAAAGGCTCGTTCATAAAGTGGAAAAAGAGTGGTTGAAAATAGAACGTTCATTCTCCTATCAACCGCCAACCAGTCAATGGGCATTATGGATTCGGGAAGAACGTAAAGGAAGGAATGTTCTCCGCCCAAAGCACGTTCAACTTGCAGTGTGTTCAAATCAGCAATTAACAAGCGACTGTACAGAACAGTTAGAATGCGGTAAGAGGATGATCCAATGGATGTAAGGTCCTCAAATGTAGATCTGAGTCCCTGCTCCACAGGTGTGTGTGACCGTGGCAGGACAGTTGTCCTTCCTGAAGCTAATCTTCAGTGTGGTAATTCTCTAGTAGCTGCCCCTTCTAAGCCTGTCTTTTGCACCCTCCAGAATCACCAAGGTCATGAATGGCACCGTGGTCTGATTCTTCAGTTCCCATCCTATCAGAGGGGCCCCTGGGGGTCTGACCACGTCTGTCCCATTTAGCAGGAGGGAGAAAAGCGGTCTTGTCCCACCAGAGGATGTGTGATCGAGCACCGACTATGCCATGCCCCACGCCTCTCACCTCTCACTCCCTCTTCCTGGGAGGTTCTTGCTCAACTGAGTCAACAAGCTTCTCCCAACTACCAAGAACTACACTGCATGGCCGCTGACCTCCAGAGTCACAATCCATCGTGCTCTTTCGTGCATCGGGAATAACGGATGCAGGTGAAAAGGTCCTCTAGAGGCTGTTAACAGAACCCAGGTGAAATGACACAGCCTTGAAAAGGTTATTTTTCACATCTGCTTCATGAAATGGCAAGGTCTCGGTGCCGGCGAGTGACTTGCACAAGTAGAATGCCGCAGGCCTCTAAGCCCTGTGTCCTCACCAGAACCCGCAGCTCCAGCCTCCTGCCCCTCTCACCCTCTACCCCCCTCCCTCCCTGGAGCTGGCTGAGCCCGGAGCAAGTGTCCTGCTGCCGGGGTGGCACACCATCTCCAACCAGCCAGTCCCGCCACTGCCCAGGATCCAGCCCAGCAGTGTTTGGGCAATGAGGGGCACTAAGCCCAGGCCAAATAAATGGCGCTGTTGAGGAGGGCTCGTGAAATGCTCCACTGGCAGCGTTCCATTAAACTGTCACCTGGTTTTCTGTTCTCATTGTCGCTGTCAGTGTCGGCCAATGCCCATTTCACTGATTTCTCAGAAGGAAACAGGACGCGACTGGGGCTCCTGGGTGGCTCGGTTGGTTGCACATCCAACTCTTGATTTCAGCCTAGGTCAGGATCCCGGGGTTGTGGGATCAAGCCCTACCTCCAGCTGTGTGCTGAGCATGGAGCCTGCTTGGAATTC